AGGGAGAGCGTGCTGGGATGCTTGAAGAGCTTCAAAGTGTACGTGCGGAACTGGGAAGGGTACAAGAACGCACGGGCATATGCCCGCTGCTTGAGGGCCACACGGCACCGGTTTATAGTGTGGCTTGGAGACCAGATGGTTTGGTGCTGGCAAGCGCGTCAGGCGACCAAACAGTGGTGCTTTGGGATGCAGCAACGCGGCGGCAAGTACAAGTATTGCAAGGGAGCCATACCATTGGTGTCACGTATGTTACTTGGAGTCCAGACGGGAAGCTCTTGGCGTCGGTGTCATACGATACGACAGTCGTGGTGTGGGATTGGGCTGCAGGGCTGCCCGTCCGCACCTTAGAAGCCAGTACTGACAGTCAGATTGCTTGGAGCCCCGATGGGCAAACCCTAGCGACAGCTTCAAACGATGGCACGGTCGGTTTGTGGTCGGTGGAGACGGGCCAACGGCTCCACGAGTGGAAAGCTGGCGATGGCCCGTTTTGGCAAGCGTGCGTTGCCTGGAGCCCAAATGGAGGCTTGTTGGGCATAGGGAAATATGAAGGGATTGATATCTGGGACTCGAGGACAGGTGCGCGGGTGAAGCAGATGGAAGGCCATACGAGTCAAATAACTGGCTTGGCTTGGCAACCAGAGGGCAACATGTTGGCATCCGCATCGTGGGACAAGACTGCCAAGGTGTGGGACGTGCCTTCGGGCCAGCCGGTACAGACTATTACCGCACATACGAAGACAACAAGATCGGTATGTTGGAGCCCCGATGGACGCAAGCTAGCAACAGCTGCGGACGACGGGTTGGGGTACTTGTGGGACCTGACGGATGTGGCCCACTCGCTCCGGAAGCTAGCAGGCCACTCAAAAGGTATTTACAGTGTTGCTTGGAGCCCAAACGGTCAAACTGTTGCAACAGCTTCGGAGGACACGACGGTGGGGTTGTGGCAAGCTTGACTAGCTCAAAAATGAATTGACAATAAATCACGAGGAGTCTATGTAGGCACGTTGTAGGAAAACTATCACGATTGGGTAGGAGTTTATCTGGTAGAGTTGAGCACAAGCCTATGGTACTGTAGCCCGAAGGCTGGACACACATTAGTGACAAATATAGGTATGCCATGAGACGCCTGATGATGGCCTAGCTATCGTTGACCACAGCAAAAATGAAAAGAGACGTAGTGACTATTTTCTCGAAGGTGACTGGCTTAGGCTAACTCTTGAGTACTCCTAGAAACATTTAGACATTTTATGTCAAACCATCTGGTGGCAACGAATCTCATGGAGGTCTGGCTTTCTGGCGCGTGGCCGCCACTGTGACACAAGAATTCAGGACTAGGAACGAAATTGATAATTTTAGACATGTAAATCACGTTTATGTTTACACAGCAAACAATTGCCCAGTCTTTTTATTGTATCAGCGCGCGCCGGCAACATGTAAGCTAGCTTGGCGCAGCCAAAAACTTGCGCATGGAGGTCGATTATTCATGGCCGTGATCGACCTGGATCTTATATTAGCTTGCATCCGAGCACACTGACAGGTGTGGCTACACTGATCGAGGCCGGATATTTTTTAAGGAGAGGTCGGACTCGATTCATAACGGATGCCACAAGTATATGCATCATTTCAGCTCAGAAGCGAGCTCTGCACATGGGCCATTGTGCTCAGGCTTTTGTAGTATCTCAATGAATATCAATCACAAACGATCGAACAGGATATCAACCCGCCCGGGCCGGACACGGTGACTGGAGCTTACATCTCAAGGGAAATGTTGTCGGTATCTCAGACCAAAAGCTAAAACATGTAAGACGGTGCTGTATGAGTATACAGCCAAGAAGAAAAATGCAAAGTCTACTTATGCAGGATTTCCACTTCGACAAGCGGAACACTTTGAAACACGTCTGCTCGCAATTTTCGAGTCCGTCCTTCAATTGCAACACACCTTCGTAGGCCAATCTTCAGTCTTAAAGTACTTCCTTTCTATTTCGAACGCACAACCCGCTCACTACGTCCCCTCTCGAATTCCGATGTCAACGCTGCTAAGAATGTACGAACCGACCGCAGGTCTTCGGCTGACAGACTATCCTCGACCCTCGCTAAGAACGATGCATAACGCGTGTCAGTATTTGCGGACGGCGTTGCCCCTCTGGCTTCCGGTTTTTGCACCCTAGCTTGCGGAGCGCCCGGTTCTTGCTCTGCCGACGATGGAGCCTCTAGCAAGCTTCCGTTCTGGCCCCCCTCCTTGACCGGGATTACGTTCCGCCCGTTCTTCGAACTTTTTGCGGGGGCGCTGCGCCCGGTTGCGACACCCCCTTCGGGACCCCCCCAGGGCAACGGGAGCCGCCGCTGCGGCCATTGAACTTCGACCGGAATTTTCTTAAATCGCCCTGGAGGCAAATCTGGTTCAGACCCGGGTCCTCCTTTCCAATCTTCCAATCCCAACCCAAGGCCGTCAAACACTCGCTCCAGCTCAGCCGTCGACGGCAGAGCACAGCCCGGAACGAAATCGAACAGCCCCCCCGAATCCCGCTGCAAAGCGTCTGACACCCCCGATGCACTCTCCGTCTCTACAAGCCCCCCCTCCGCCACACGTTTTTCATCGACGCCGGTGGTGACGTCATCAACACGTTCCCAATCAGCAACACCGTCCCCAACTCCTTCTTCTTTCGGCTCTCTCTTCGCCTCGAGCAGTGCCGCAATCTTATCCAGCGCCTCTCCGGTCGTTACAGTCCCACTTCCCGTTTCCCCCCCGTCGTTTTCCCCCTGGTTGCTCCCCCCGGACAACGTTGCATCACACAGCGCCCGCCCAAGGCCCCCCTCGGGGGCTCCCCGGAGTGCCCCGAGCACTCTTTCCACCGCACTCCCTTCCGCCAGTCCGCCGTTCCGCCCTTCCGCCAGAAAGCGCAAAAAGCCGGGCAACTCGTGGGGCGCCAGATCCCAACCCGCTTCCACCGCACCCCCCACCGCTACTGGGAGTCTTTGCACATCCCCCCCCGCCATGCAGGCAGACACAACTACCTCCCCAAGCGCGGCCGCATCCGACCCACCCCCCCGAACCGAGACCAGCTCGCGCAGCGGGTCGGTCGCTTGCGCGAGCCGCCCGCACGCGCACAGCGCTCGGATGACGTCAGCAAGCGCCTCCCGGGGCAACAAGCCGACGGCTTCCCTCTCTTTCATCTCGTCGAACAGCTCCACGATCCGGAACGGCGCCAGGAAGGCGTCCCCGGCTGCTGACGTCGGCGCTGACGTGGCACTTGCTGACGTGGCGACAGCTGACGTGGAGTGGGCGCGGATGAGAATCGCGTACGACGTCGCGTTCGGCTGCCGCCCCTGCTTCCGCATCTCGGTCAACAGCGACCCCGCCTGCTTGAGATTCCCCCTGCTGACGTAAGCTTGCATCAGCAGGTTGAATGCTGAGACCGTCGGCTCGAGCCCTGCCCCCTCAATACGCCGGAACACTTCGTCGACCTTCATAAGCTGCCCGGCGCTCAGATACGCCTCCATGAGCGCGATATAGCTATACACGTTTGGGGGGCAGCCGTCTTTCACCATGACCGTCAGGATCTTCTCCGCCTCCGCCAGCTGGCCGCTCCGACCCAGTGCGCTAACCAGCAGGTTATACGTAACCCGGTCCGGTTTCAAACCCTGGCGCTTGATCTCCTGGAACACCCGCAACGCATCGCTGACCAAACCCCGTTCCGCATAAACGCTCAGCACCGTGTCGTAAACCTTAACCCGGTCCTTGTCCGTGCTGTTAACCCAGTCCGGGTTCCCGTACATCTCGCCCCAGACCCGGTCGAGCGCGGTTAGGTCGCCCCTTAACCCGCACGCCTTAACCAGGATGCTATACGTATGGCTGCTCGGCCGGCCCCCAGCTCGGAGCATGCCCTCGTATACCTCCATAAGCGACCGCAGCGGGGCGTCACCGCGCCCCATCCCGTCCAATAGCGTATTGACCGTGATGACGGACGGCCGGACGCCCTTTTTCTCCATCGTCCGGATCAGGGTTTGGACGGACTCCCAGTCGCCCAGCTTGGCGTAGGCGTCGCCCAGAATGTTGTACACTTGCTCGTCGAGCTCCTTTTGGAACGAGGCCTGCAACAAAAGGAGAAAGTCGACAGAGGAATTGATGAGGGGGAATAATAAGATGATAAAGCAGGAAGTTCGAAAAGAAGTCGAGACGTTGATGTTCAAAATAATACCAAATCGTGAGTTGGGGCAAGGAAGAATGGATGAACTCAGGTAAAGCGTCAATGGGAAGCTTGGCTGGAGGGTCGCGTCGTGATGAAAGGGAGCTGACACCTCGCGCAGAGCACCCGTACTGCAGCGGTCAGCCTTCTTGACATCTCTGATGCCACGCCACATCCTTGGTCGTTGACAAAAGTAGCTGACTACAGCTTATTTTTGTAAACAATCAACGAATTTTCAAGTGGGCAAATCACGATGTTCATTGCAAAATCATCGTGGGCAGCACGAAGCAGACTCTCCTCCGCAATAGGGAGGAGAATAATTGCAGGGGCCTATAACAGCCAAATCATTCCTTGCAGATTCTCCCCGACCAAGATTGTCTGTGTTTGGGCAATCGCAGCAGAAACCCTGCCCTCCGGAAGGCTTTGCGAAGCAGACGATCTGCCGCACCTATAATGACTAGCAGGCTGCAAGGATATGCAAGCCGCGTCGAATCCTGATACGACGTCTCTGCTGAGAAGCGCGTGAACAAGCTGCTTGTGCAGGCTCTGACAGCCTCTGGTGGATGAATGTCTCGCTCAAAGGGCCCCGGTTTAACTCAAAGCCGTCGAGGCCTGGCAGTCGGGGGCCTCAATACAAATCATCAACATACCACCAAAACGGAAAATGGAAAGAGAAGACAAGGGGAAAACACATTGACACGGCTGGAAAAGGCAGTAAAACAGTAGAATCTCATCCGCGCTGAGTTGGAACAGAAGCGCCGCTCTCTCACCTCCATCCGCTCAAAGAGCTTGAGGCACGTGGCAATGCCGGCTCCGCCCTTCGCACACGCGTCAATTAGAGCGCTGCACGAGCAGAAGCGTATTGTCAGAACCCGACCAGCTGCGCGAGTCGCAGAAAGCGGAGCCGATCCCAGCAAAGACCCACGGAAACTAGCATAATGAACCGAGTGGGTGATGCGCCGAAATGGATGGAAGCGATTTCGGCTGATCGGAACATCTTTGAAAGGTCGGAGAAAGGCGGCGAGAAGTGGTGACGCGGAGGCGCAGCAATCCGGTGGTTTAGCCTTCTAGCAATCAAGACTGATTTTGACGGAGATTGTTGCATCCAGAACAAGTGTATGCCTTCAAAAGCGCCAAAACTCGACTGACCACGCACTCCATGACGAAAGCCCCTTATGGCATGACACCCACGTGGGCTTCTTAATACATCATGTTCTCTCTTTGTTGGAAGAGCGAGCTTTCCACTGATAACTTACGCTGCTCCGATTGGTCGAAGTACTAATTCGAAACCGTCCGCTTGATTTCAAGCATGCCATGAGTACCAAACCTCCTACCGTTACAAGGTGTATGCGGATGCGGACTGACTCAAATTCGCCATCACCGACCGAGAGCCGAGACAGACCAGGTCACCGGCAAACGACAAACAGGACCACAAGGCTCATTGCCAAAAGGAATGTCCTATTGGAGAACCGCCACGCGGCAGCTAGACGGGCGAACACAACAACTTCGACATCTAGCTTCGCCCAAAAGCACCTAGTGATTGACATCAGCCAATCCTGGACCTCCAGTGGGTCGTGCCTCTATCTCTTAACAATCACGGTAAGAACTTCCTTGTTCGCCATTTGTCAATGCCGGATCTATTCAGGAAGTGCAAATCAGTAACCGAAAAATGGCGGCGTCCCACCTCCAGGTGACCACGTTCGGCTCGACCCCCGCCGCGACCATTTTGCCGAACGTCCGCAGCGCGTCCTTGTACTCGCGGACGTTTGCGTAGCAACCGATCATCGCGCTGTACACGTACTCGTTTGCACGCACGCCGCGCCACTCCATGCGCTCAAAGACGGCGACCGCCACCGTCGACCGCTTCTGCCGCCCCAGGACAGCCAGCACCTGGACAATGGCAGGACCGAATGACGTCAGCAAGCGTAAGATTGATGTCAGCAAGCGTTATTCGGACCTTTGTGTCAATTTCTTTGCCAGTGAGGACAGCTGTAGATGGGCTCGACGACGATCACCGCCACTGCGAACTGCTTCCGCCACTCTAGGACAGCCGGCACCTGGGGGATATCGGGTCACGGAGTGACTTGAGCAACCACAAAAGTGACGTCAGCAAGCGCATTTCCGGCCTTTTGTGCGAAATCTGGAGGCAGAGATGTCGGTTGTAGCTGCTCTTGGAGATGACTACCGCCACGCAAAACACTTCTGCCGCCCCGAGGCAAGCCAAACCGGCGCGGTATCAAGGGACCGAGTAACGTCAGCATGCGCGAGGATGACTTCAGCAGACATGTGCTGGAGATTCAATTTGTGCCAATCTCTGAGACCAAGGCGCCAATCGTAGCTGCGTTTGAAGACAGCTACCGCCACTGCTGATCGGAGTGCCAGCATCGGGGCGGTGTCGGTGAAAAACGGTGACATCAGCAGGCGCAGAAGTAGCGTCAGCATGCACTGTTTGAATTTTGTCGCTAAGGGAAGTCAGCTTTTCTTATGAAGAATTTTTGTTGCTCTCACTGCTCAGTGGCAGTTGCCCCTGAACGCACGTGTGCGCTTTCGAAAGTAAGTATGGTTGTGTGGAAGCACGATTGCAACATCAGCGAACAATATAAGGAACCTGATGAGCACTGAGGTTTCTTGCAATGGATGTACTCGAAAGTGGATGCACTCAATCACAATCAGTGCCAACAAAAACGCCTCTCCTGCATTAGCGCCGCCAACCTTTGAGAAGGATCCATTCGAGCAAGATAACAAGGCAAGAGGGGGTAGACTCTCAGAGGTGCAGATTGGACTGAAGCAATCAGAAGCGGGTCTAAACGCTCAGCGGGCCCAGCATCACCGGCCACTACAGGGATTTTGTCCATCCTTAGCCAGCCAAGCTTCACAGAAGCATACCCATAGAAGCTCGTTCATGTCTGCAGTTATTGAACCTTTTGCAGTCCGACCCTCAGAAAGGACCTCGCTCAGCAACTGTTCAAATCAGTCCTTTTTTATCCTCTCTAATTATTTTACTGTGATCTAGCCATACGTGTACAGCTCGGACTGTGGATGTAATCATGGCCAACGTCTTATACATATTTCAGTAAGTCGTAGTGCACCCAAGAAGAGGAAATAATCAACATTCTTCAAACGAACTCACCGTGCTGTAGCTCCACTCGTCCGGCTGACATTGCGGCTGCGCCTCCATCCACCGCAGCAGCCCCACGGCCATCCGCCAGTTCCCCCGCTCTCCCAGCCCCTTCAACACTTTATTCAACTCTAATGTACTCAGCCGCCCGACGAGCGGTGTCAACAGCTCCCCCAGCTCCAACGCAGGCCTCCCAATTGACACCGCCTCGGCCTCATCCTGGAACGCAGCTGACTTCAGCAGCTCCTCTTTGTACAGTTTCTGAACTTTCCGGTCGTGACTAGCGGAGACGCCTTCAAGGAATGCAAGCGTGCGAACCACTCTTTGCGTGCTGAGGTTGCGAGCGCGCACGCGCGCCCGTGCCTCTTTCCTGGAGATGGGATCCCCAGAGCCTTTGGAACTTCCTGCACGTTCTGAAGCCCCCAGTCCCAAAGCGACAGGAACCCCCAGGTCCTCTGAGACCCCGAGCCTCCCGATTGGAAACCCCTCCAACTCTGCGAGCTCGCGCGCAAACTCCTGTGGTTCTACTACAGGTGGCCCCTCGATGCCTCTGCTCACTACCGTCCCCATCGCATTCCAGCTGACATCTACAGGCGTTTCTTCCCATTTGGTCGTTGGATCAGGACTCGGTTCTTCAGTAAGTTCACCTAACCTACTCGAAGTCGCGATTCGACTCCTTTGACTCGGTGCACTGTCCGAGCTTGGTTCAGCCTCCCGCTCCCCTTCAAAACCAGTGATTGCGTCCAAAACCCTGGCCCTGTCTGCCTTAGGAGCATTCTGATCAAGCCCGGCTAAGATCGCCTCGAGCGACCACTTTGCAGCTTCCCCCTTCTCGCCACTGGCACCTTTTTGAAAGGCATCACCCCGCTTGAGAGACGCTTGTTCTGAGGCCCCTTTCGTTAGCCCCTTGCTGCTGTTCCCTTCGCCTCTGATCCCTTGCTCCTCTACATTGCTTCGGCCCGACCGCCCGTCCCTCGTCCTCTGATCGCTACCTTTTGAGTCGCCCACCCCATCCAAAAGAACCCCCTCTGATCCACCTTCTAATTCCTGATCTGATGTCCCGACCTCTTCCTGACTACCACTACGCTGGTTAGCAGCTAACCGACTCCCTAACCCACCCTGCTCCTCAGGAGATGCATCCTTACTACCACCATCAAGTCCACGGGCCGACCCAGCGTCTTTTTCAAGAGATGCTTTCTGTACATTCTGCCCCTCCTGGCCATTCTTCCCAGCACCCCTTCGTTTTGGGAGAGATTGCAGCCTGCCAGTGGCCAGATGCACAAACTCCCACTTTTGCTTGTCTCCGGTCTCTACGCGAATGCCAGCTGATTCGCTCTTCCCATCAGGACCGGCCCTTTCCCGAGATGGGAGATCTGTAATTTGGCTCCCCGATTGCCCTTGTGCTTGACACCACACTTTTGGCTTCCGGCAAGGCAATGCTGGGCTTTTGAGTGCATGCAGACTGTGCTTCCGCTGCTGAGCAAAGAAAGTGCTCGTGAGAGATACGCCCAGTGAGTGCACCACCTCAGCATCAGAGGGAGCAATCTTCCGTTGCGGAGGGGAAGGGTGGGCTTGTCGCCAAAGCTTGCCGCAGGGGCATGTCTGCAGCTCGCTCATCGCAGCGCTGAAGAAAAGTTTCTCTCTGCCCGCATCTGAAGTCGCTTCAAAGGCATGAGGTGACTAGGTTCCCCTGACTATTGAACAGCCGCCATTCACTGAAAAGGGTGAAGCTACACCAGCATACGTAATGCAGCCCCCATACATGTATTGCAGCAATGCTTGCTGGCTTCACTGAAATGGGAATTTGGGCTGTGGCTGCTCAGTCACCAGTGCTGCCACCGTTCTTGGTATGTGACGTGGTACTGTTCGATGAGTTCTTTGTAAGTATCGGACGGTTGAAAAAGCCCTCATAAATTTTAGGATCTGGTGCGAATCACCAAGTTTGAGGTTTTGAGGCTTGAACTATGGACTTTATTACCTGTTGATATTGATCTAGGTATTCTCATTGATGCCCACTGCCGCAATATCTAACTTGAGCTTACGGTAGTTTGTGTGAAAGGCCCAATTAAGCTAGCCGATGGCACCAGATAATATCATTGGGTCCATTGTCTGTGAGTAGATATTGCGGACAAAGCATCCATGCCAAGCATTTGCCATGTCCAGATCTGGATTATTCACTTGAGTACACCATATTGAGTACACCATATTCCAAGCTGCACTGAAGTTATGTTGGTCAAAGCGCCTCACCCAGAGTGGTTCGCATATCAAAGCAAGCACTACATACTATACTCCGTTGCCACAACGAACAGATTTCGTGCATAACTTATCAACTGTGAGCTTCAAAAACATCAGGCACCGTAGGTTCATAATGATAACCTCCCAAGCGATGAGTCACTCGCTTTATACGACACCGATATCCATGCTAAGCCGGAACTGGGTATCTCCATCGGCCCATAACTTGACGCAACCTATCTGCAGGGGTCGATTCTAGAAGTTGTTGCAAACCTAGTCGACTACTATGAACACCTGAGTATGGCGACCGTGTTCGAGACGTGTACACAAGCTGCCTACCAAGCGCAGGCTTCGATACAATTCCGCTTTCTCTTATCAGAGCTCTACTTCTTCGTAAGCAGACTCCCAAGGCCACCCGAGACGCATCGATCTTTGAAAAGTGGTTTATGCGGAGCTGCCCAGGTAAACTGGATCCCCATAAGCTACTCAAACGATTCCTTGAATTCAGAATTGTGTTTCTTGACGCCAAGCTGTCCGCTTTCAGACCTGCTTTCTTGTATGCCGGTTTCGCTGCAAACGGCACAAGGTTGAGTTGCTCCGATCTGGGAGAAGTGACGGGAGGTTTTGAAGGACGTCCGGTGACCGCCTTGACGCTTGGAGGGACAGCTTGAACGGCCCCTGTCCATTCGCTATACTGCTGGGCTATCTTGTTTGGTAACCGGAAGGTGCTCTGCAGGAGGTCGGACACCTGCAACGAAGCAAGAGGCAGCAAATATGTTCCAAAAGCCTGAGATTTGCGGCCGTGACGCATCAACGTCTCACTGATTGGATCAGCTCTTAGAAACCAGACAGAAGATCTACCACGAGTGCCATGAATTGCTCCTGTTCCAGATGGCAATTGTACATCAATTGTACATCAATTGTACATCGATCCTTACAGTAAGTTGATTAATGCATAAACTTTCCAATCTGAATGGAGGGCTGAGAACAAGGTTAAGAAGCTTTCGACCAATTGTTCAAAGGTGCCCTTAAAATTTCGTCTCACATCTTCGAGTCATTAATCCAATCTCAAGCAGCTTGATAATTTCCTGAAGGACTGCCTTAGAAGCCATCGGAACGCATCAGAAACACTGACGACGTATTCAGTCGAAATCAGGCTCAAGAAAGAACTCCGAGTGGCAGCAGCTTGCCAACCCTGAACTGACAACAGTATGTTCTACAACTGAAGTTAATGGGAAGTTTTGTGGTTTAGCATACCTTTTGTTGCTTTGCAGGATCGTTCGGAAAAAGGACTCGCTTGTTCACTTCTGACAACCTCCGATAGATCTTTGGGAAGCCATACAGCTGCAAGAAACCCACAATCTTGTGAGCTGACGCATGAGCATAATAGAATGTATGACGGACTGGTTTAATGAATTGTGGCGAGACCAGAAGGGCAATCTCAGGACACCGTGTTCCCAAGGGCTAGAATCCTCTTCACATCTGATTCCCTGGATTAGGAGAAGCATGATTACACGTACGCCAATGTCATTTTATAAGCAGGACGTATCTTGTCCTGTCATATGTTTTACATAGTGCATTCATCAAATGGCCCCAGAGCGCTCTCGGTCGCAGGTGTTCACACCTCGAGCAAGCAAAAGCAACATCAGCATCAAATGTTGGAACACAACTCCTGAAAACAGTAGCATGTGCAGGCAATTGAATGGTGTCACATCATGCAATCTACACCACCCAGTATATTCAGCGGATTAGCAACAACACGGCAATTACAAAAGGTATAGCTTATCGCAAAAAGTGTCTCTGAAACGACAATGGATGACTAAACGGAAGCCTGGATTTCAACGAATGATCCAGAATTGATGCGTTCATTCAATCTTCCAGCGTTGCCTCAATGCTTTCAGGTGGTGTGGACTCTGTCGCCTTTCATACGAAGAAAGAGAAGATGCATCATTCACAGCACTACAGATTGTGGATCTCACCCTGGCAGCCAAGTAGACAGTCGCTTTCTTAGCGACCCAAAAGGCCGCAAACTTTGCAATGAAAGGGACAGGCATTGCTGATCCTCCTTTGCGCTTCCGGTCGAAACAACCCTCCTCGCTAGTAGCTTCTGGTTTGCCTAATAGAGCAGATCTGCTTGGCTCCCTCTTTCTCTTAGGCCCGCCGCCCCCTCTCTTCCTCACGGGTTCCCTTGCGCCGCCGCCACTGCCAAGTGCTAGTACTAGTAGTACTAGTAGCACGAACGCCCTCCACGACTGTACGGTCTGTACCGTGTACGTTCGAAGTGTACAAAAGGTCTGGGACAGATTTGGGACTTAACAATCCTACATGCCAGGCGTCATAACTGTCGCGACAGCGTGTCGTACCCTCTTCGATGTTCGATACGTGAAATCCTGAGCGTCGAATCCATTCCGGCTTTAAAAACTGGCATGCCATTCGATTTGAACATGATCGCCTCGTTCACATCAGGTCACGCGACCAGCGGTTCTTGTGCAAAGGGTCTGCCGTTGTGTGACACTGACAGTTGGAAGCAGCTGGCTGCTGCTGGGGCGCCCAGCGGAGCAGCATGGGAAGAGGCAACACAAAAGTTGAAGACGCTTTGCGTATCAGAGCAGGAAACGTTTCAAGAGACGCAGCTGTTCCACTTATCCTGTGTCTGGGGTTTCCTTTTTAGATTGTTAAACATTAGCATTCTGGAGCAATCTGCATTCGGGTTCTGAAGTGAGAAGCTCTACAAAGGAAAAGTTGGGCTTTGACCGGTGGCAGGTCCAAAGGGGGATCAAAGTACAATGCCAGGCATCCCCCTGCAAAATGGAGGGAGTGGTGGCATCACTTCCAGTGCTGAACAATCAGAGAACCAAGCCACTGTTTGGCGGCGCCATGATGGCGGCTTTCCCAGACAGGTTCAAAGTAAGAACTGATGGAAAGATGTGTGCGTTCCAGATCTTTTCTCACGAACTTGTACGGGACTTTATGATCAGCATTGGAACTTCTGATATGTGGCCAATGAATCTCCTGATTATCGTTCTAGCTCTGTCCAACCAGTCGACCGCTCAAGCACCATGGCTATACGTTACTCAAACGAACACAACAAACACATTGAGCAGCACCAGCCTCAAAGAGAAGTCTTACTTGATGGAGTCGACTGTGGTTATCCCATTGCTTAAAGAGCTGATCGAACATTGGTTGAAATCTCCCTGTTGTGGTGCAGGATGTGAGCGATTTCCGGGATGTTCCGGACCATCAAGTGAGTCCCAGATGGAGAGCTTCAGATAACATATGTTTTGGCAATTGTTTATTCAAGGTCTTCTTTTCACGCTCGTCGTCATGCAGGTTCTCAACGATGGTGCCTTGGCTGCATCAGTCTGCATATCAAAGTGGGCCACTTGAAAAAGTACAACTCATTTGGCAATTGGTTTCAATTGGCTACCCTCTCTGTATGTCGCTGTGGGGACTGTGCCTCTTGTTTTTGTTGTGAAGTTGTTGACGTCCAATCATTGAAAATTCGCAGGAGGTCCTTTCTGATGAGGCCCATGATGAAAGCATCATCATTGAGCTTCTGGAATTGAAGGAGGAAGCACAGGTGAGCTAGACTTGGCGGTACTCGTTTGTATCTGCTGCCTACCTCTTAAGATGCTGGGTTTGAGCTCTAGCTTTGGATTTGCTGAAAGCTGTTTGTTGTTGAACATCTTGCTGCTGTTCAATAACCATCTTATGGTTTTGTTCACCACTTGACGTGGCTTCTTCTACTTTTCAAAATACCCTTCCGTTCTCTGGTTGTTTTCTTCTTAACACCCTTGATGCATCTCTTTCTAGAAGCTAGTCTCTTGGCTTGAGGACACTGCAACTATATCCATTGCCCTATCTCCGTCTGGCCCTCTTTAGCACCAAGCAAAGGCGAACTGTAAGAATGAGAAGAGATGCGTATGTAGGATCTTGTAGCCAAAGAAGTACGGCAGATCCAGCATCACTTATCCTGGTTGGTGATTGTCCAGGACCAAGATGGCGCTCGCTGGTTCCTGACAGACTTGGCAGGCGAAATGGAAGCAGCTCCGGGAAGTGTAAGCCTGTCAATCCTTTTTGGCTTCAATACTCTTCTCCCATACCGTATCATTGGTACCCATGCCAGTTTTTGTAATGTCAATCTGCACCTACGTTATTCAAAATGGTGCAGATGACCGGCCGAGGCAGATGCGAAAAGCAGGGAACTTGTTCAAAGCACTTGGGAATGATTCTGGCTGTCCTTTAGATTGGACTTGAGCATGTCAGAAGCGAGCAGTGCGACCAAGTTTGTTGCTGAGAGGAGTTCTGCACGATATTGGACGAACACGTATTCCAGGAGCGAAGCAGGGGACGGAAAGTGTCACCATGCAACCTTCTTGAAGCTGTCCTAGTAGTATCAACCTTTAGAATAGCGTAAAAGAGCACACGCATAGTTTCATGCAGCCAAAGCTATACCTGCCACCCGCCGATGATGATGTTAATGGGGTCGAATTCATCCGATTTGCGCTTGACTTCATTTTTGATGGATTTTTTTGCAGAGACTCGACTCCGTTTCGCCACTCAGCGCCGTCGATGTCCCTTTCCTCGACCCCCTGATCCCCAAGTCCGCTGCCTTCGGAACTATGGTGAGAACCTTCCACAAGCTCACATCACGTGGATTGTCCAGGAAAAGGACAAGAAAGCCCCTTTACGAGGTTTCTCTACAACGACCCTTTCCAGTCTGTTGTAAAGCAATAAGCCAGATTCAGACGCCTGCTTTGGTGCCAACCTATTCGCCTGTGGTCGCTTGACAGTGAGACCGTTTGAGAGCGTTGTTACAGGATGTCAGTGCCAGAGTTGTGCCCATAGACACCCATCATTTCAACATCCAAACAACAGTCCCATCCGTATTGCAAAGTCCTGATACTAATAGGTGCTGTCATTTCGCAGACCCTGATTGGAACGCCCAACCCCAAGACTCCGGAGGAGAACGTTTGTCAGCGACTTTGAAGCGCTCCCCTGACGCCATTCCTCAAGTTCGTTCTGACACATCGATTCTTTGTCCAGGCTGTTTCGAAGTATCGGCAAGGCCCAGAGGCGCAAAACCTAGTCAAGGTGGGCAAATTTTGTCTTGATCTGGCATGCGTCTCAACTCAGGGAAAACTCTCTTTCAAGCACAGCGTTCGGTAACTGAGTATCAAACTTTGCCACCTGTTCTACGTCTTGCTTAGCCGGTCAATCAAACCTGACGGCTAGTTACTTTTCCCCTTCGCATTACCTGGCAGAGCAAATGAAAGCGATTAGACCAGTCAGAGCAGTGGTTAGCAAGGGCCGAGATTCGAACCGATGGCTGCAAGATGCCAATTTCTGCAGTCAGCTCGTTCCAGACAGGTTGTGAAGTATGTTTCCCCAGCGCATGTCCAGCTAGATGGAAAAATCCTTGCGGATGTCTGACGCGCCAATCCGGTTCGCAGGTTCATCTGGCTCACCTCCGTCTCCGAAATGTTGGTACAGACGTCCTTGTCACCGTGTACGAGCCTCTTGTCATCAGGTAAGCCTGGGGGCGTTATTTCTCTCCAATTTCGGTTCAGGATTTGCGTCAGGGATCGTATTATTCGATTCGCACGAGCTTGAAGAATCCTCCGAGCAAGCTCGGTACAGGAAAGTCCGCTTTCAGCGGAGCGGAGTTGGGAAGCCGCCTATTTCGCTCTTCGACCATTCATTGCTGGAAAGTTTCAGTTGATTCAAGACGGATCAAAGCAAGTAGGACCCTTTTTTCCAGCGTTTGGAAAAGGGCTAGCCTTCGGTAACGACAGCGGGTGACTCGTCAGAAGCTCGAAGCGGACTTGAAGGGACGTACGTCGAATGAAAGCTGATGAGCTCTGGCTTCCGGCTCTCTTCGACATTGTTTCTGCAAGAACTGCATCTTTACAAACACACAATGTCTGCGATTGACGCGCCTGCACTGTCCTTGTTGCAGCGAACAAAGCGAGAGTGCGCGCGCGGTGACCGCCACTGGAGCAAATATGGAGCCGCGGCAGAGCGCTCTTGAAGTCTTCCGGACGCTGCTGGCCACTCTCCGGGTGGTTGACTGGAGTCTTTTCGGTCACTGATCAGAAGTGTTTGTTTCTTATTATTGGGCCCTGAGAGATCGGACCGCCGTACGTGGCGGTTTGGCTTATATAATGCGAGATTTTGTAAAAGCTGTCAATGTACGTTGATCAATCATTGCTGTGTTTGCTTGTTAGTGGATCCTTTATGTGTACGTCCGGTCGATAGAACATCAGCTATAGAGTGAGTCAGAGTATAAACTCGGTGTTCTCTTGTAATTTGTCATCTCAGCTTGCCATAGCTCGATCCCGACTTCGTCAAAGGTACTAATGTCTAGTCGTAGTGCAGTCGTTCTTTCAATGCACTCGTGCTAAGCAGCCCCGTTGCTTGAAATCTGGCAGGGCGGTCAAGTTTGGCTTTACGAATTGCTGCCCTGAGGCACATGTGGCTTTGTTGCCTTGGTGGTCGCATGGTAGCCGTCATAAAGTTGCATGACTTTTGAGGCGAATCGACGCGTTAAAAAGATTGCGACACCGTTCATTGAACAGAACTTTCCAACCGAGGAAATGCATTGTTGACGGTATAAGGCAATGATCAGCCTGTGATTCGTCGGAGTGAGCTTGATTGAATTGTGCCTGCCAAGCTTGCATGCAGCTGAAAACAGCTCTTAATTAATCCAGGACGCAATTGGGAGCACAATACGCTCATTGCTGGCCTAGCATGAGCTCCGCAGATTTATTCAATCGCAATATGGTCTTATATTGCCACATGAGCTAGATTATGATGTTGTCACGATTATATGTCTGTCACTGAGTGATCAATGGAGGTTGGCACCGAGTAACGTCTGGCAAAATCTGCCCACTCCGGATGAGTCCAAAAATGAGAAGTCAAGGTCATAGAATCTGGTCATTGAACCGGTCCGGCGCAGGCGATCGGATACTCAAAACTTAGCGCACATGAGCGCACTGCAAATCTCGTCCGACCCACGAAAAATCTGTGAAAGCTATGGCACGGCGGCCCAAATGATAGCTCCTCTGCTGGTATTGGCCACGGCTTAGTTCTCCCTTAATCTGCCGCTCATGTGCAGGAGCTTTTTATGTACGTGACTGATAGTCCCTGCCGCTGCGGCGGCGGTGCCTCTGATAGGCCTCCGTTCATATCAGCCAATCATCATGGAGTCGGCTGCCCTTCAGGCGCACAGCATGCTGTGCTTGGGATGCTGCAGACTCGAGCGTTTCTCCCTTATTCTGAAGCAACTCCAGATTGGAAGCCACACTTCGTGAAGTCGGTTTCGTGTCTTTCAAGAGCCTCAGTCATTTCTCTACATATGCCACCTGAATCGTCACCTCGATCGAAAGCTCCGGACGATGTCGAAGGACGTAGTCTTGCATGCCGATTTGGTCATGGAATAAAGCTAGCGCTGTTCAAGTTTATCGAACTTATTAACGTGCCCGGACGAACGTGAGGGTGCTCTCACCTCGCATGCACACCGGCTTCTGCTGAGCCTTCCGTCTTTTCATTTCAGTGGCAGGAGGAGTCAGAATGCACCAGCCTTCGTGGAGTAAGGACAGTGACGTGCTTCTGCAAAAGACAGAGACATCGCGCAGTCAAGACGAGCCAGAGCAGGGCTACTTTGCGATAGCGCTGCTAGAAAAGGTCTGTAATGCTTTGCATGAGATTCTAAATTCGTTGCACCTGCGCGGCATTGATAGCGGCGTAGTCGTGGTGGCTGGTGGCTCTCCCTAGGGGTAGACCTATTGCATACCTGGTCCTTGTGGGGTTTCAAGGCGCGCGCGCAGGAAGAGAAAAGTGGTGAAGAAGCAGCGGTAAGAGTGCGCATGCTGAAACAGTGGGCTTTCTCGGCGCGCGCGCAGGAAGAGAGAAGGCAGCGGTGGTAAAAAGGCAGCGGTGGGTTTGCATATGCTGAAACATTATTGGGCACGAAGTGTTTTGGGCGAGAAGCTCACTTGAAATTCGGAATGTACACTGTTGACCGCATTCTGTTGGACGAGACGTAAGTTTCTTTACGTGGGCAGTGTCGTATCTCACATTGTGGGCGTTGGCAGAGTGCACGAGATTGCAGCGAATGCATAGGTTTGTCTACTCCCAGTCAAGGCCTTTGATATTGCTCCTGCTCCCTTTCTCGAAACATCAGAGTTGGTCACCATTGTCCTTTCCGGTCCCACCGTTGGATTCTTGCAATTAGTATTTACAATGTATCGGGCATGCTGTTCGACTTCACGCCTCAATCCAAACGACCTTGAGTTGGAATGTAGCACCTTCATTTCCAGATTTCTCGTTGCAATGTGGGCTTGATCAGGTGGTTTTTGCCTTAAAAATCTCGATGATCTGAAAGTGCCCACCACTGATTACCTGAAGGCCTTCTCTCGGTCTTCAAAACGCTTTTGATGGACTCCTTTTGCTGAAGCTCCAGATTTCTTCAACTCGGATAAGCTGAGCCGATGAAATTTCATTGCGATGAAACCCATCGCGTGACTTTTACAAAGCATTCTGGGCGTCGCACATCTCGGCTTTCGGCTAGGTTTAAAAACATCTGCAGAGGATCTCTTCCCTGCGTGCAGACATTCCATATAGTACCAGGGACCTTCTCCCTTTAAAGGGCTGCGGATTAGACCCTAATACGAACAAACTGGACAAGTGCGTTATGGATAGGAAAGAAAGAACCTGCGCAACTTCAACTCACATGAACCGTCTGATTTCGAAGCTTCCGTTTCGTTCGATTGCAGCTGTAACGATGGCAAGGACGTCCGAAGCGCCGCCGGCAGCCGTCAGGGGCGGTCCGCATCTGACGGTCAGCTGGAGGCGTCCCGGCTCCAAAAGGTGGCAGCCTTTCGAGGATAAGGTCGGGCGCGCCATTCTCGCGGCCGGCGCCTCGGGAGAGGCGACCTTCCAGCTGGAGGAGACTGTGCGGAGGTCGCCGCGATTCAGTTCAGAGCAGTGGAAAAAGAAGCGCGCGCGCGCCTCTCGCAGGTGATGATAACAACTCTTAGATGTTGGCCTGGCTGCCAGCGGGCACAAAGGACGTGGTTTCACAGATAGGCTACTCAAAGAAAGGCACTGAAATCTGAATCAACCGTAGAGGCACTTTGCTTGCTTCTTACGAAATTGGGTGTCAGAAGCGGCGCAAGACATCGCGGCCGGCCGGAGATTTTACATTGACCACGTTCATAAAAACCAAGAAAAGCATGTCTATTTCTCAGGTTATCGGTTCTTTCTCTTTCAAGTGGACGAGAATGAAGCTAAGGCACCGATCTGCATCGCTTTCACAAGCAGAGCCGGAGTATTCTAGAGAGTCTGAGATTCCCAACGGTCTGATTTCTCGCGGACCTAGTTCTCTTGTTAGAAGTTTCCCCGTTTTACGTCTCGATCATCAGCACTGACAGTTGTCTCGTCTCTAGACAGATCCTTGAAGGAGGCTAAGCAGGATGATCTTGTGGTGACGCTCAAGAACATCGGCGACGGGTCCCCAGCGTCGAACTCTGGACCTGCCATTCGCTGGGGCTTCTCTTCGACGTGCACATTCGACCGGCTGCCCAACACTGCGCGCGCGCTCGCGGCCATGATCGCAGAGTGCGAGGCGGCAACGAAGCGACAGGTAATGCAGGATGCAAAGATCCGGTCGGCGAGTCAAACCTTTCGGAGGCAGACAAAAGCCGTTGTCTGCGGGTTTCTAGAAGCTTGAATCTTTATTATTCGGACGGTGGGCGATCTCGAGCTTGGGGTTCCCTATCCAGATTGGGCCTTCCAAACATCTCAATAAGCAATTTTGAAGCGCTGTAATCAACGCCAACGTGCTTCGCGTGGTTCAAGACCGCTTGTTCTCCACAGTGATGCAAGTTCAACTGAGAGCATGTCACTGACTGGGTGGAAGGTCTTGGACTTGATCAACCCTTTTGCCTCTATTCCGCTTTCCTGACGGTATGACGTCCTTGAGCTTTCTCAACGTCGCCTTTCTGCGATTTGAATGTATTTTAGACTCAATGACCTTTCGACAAAAAGAAACAAACACACATTTCTGAGCCTGAGATTCGAAAGCACTTTTTGATGCATGCGGCATGAGAACTGGTACTGCCGAAATCTTTTCCGTAATTCCCTGCTGTTAATCTGCATCTGAAGTGCCTGCATGTTTGTCGTCTTCGCAGATTATCTCGGAGCTTCTAAACTTCCTGACGTCCGAAGAGCGCATCAATGAATTCCTTTCCAAGATAGACATCGGCTGTCAGCCCGTTCACTACTATTCACCGGGACTCGTAGCGAAATGCGGCACGCTTCGCGTCTCGCGGGTCGCTGTAAACGAGCGCGCGCGGCCGGGAGGCGCGCTGTACGAGAGGTTTCTGACCACAATGGTGGGACACGTGGCAGACCTGGGAGGTGAGTTGCATCCCTGTTTGGGGGAGGGAAAATCCTGAAATCGATTGCGCTGAAGGTGCCAGTAAAGCGTGAACGTGTGAAAAGAGGGGCGTCTCTCCGTCACTCTGCCAACAACATTCAAAGAACGTGGCGCACCGACATGCCCACCAAGCATTTTCTAATGACAGTTTATCAGGAAGGTGTTTGTTGAGGGAATTCGATTTGAGAAATACTTCGAATCTGCATCGTGATCTCGGGCTGGTAACCAATTTCAGCTGACAGTACGTGCTCTTGGATCCTCATTTGTAAATTCTTCCGTTGCTCGGCACGTAAGTTGAGTCATTTTCGCAGGTGCGCTCCAATCGCTGATGGGCTCCGCGACTCAAAGCATCGCTCCGCTCACCTTCGCCTTCCACGGCACTCCACCCCCCAACGTTCCGTCCATCTTGGAGAGCGGAATGCTGCCGGAAAAGAGGGTAGCGGCGGGGGACTGGTTCGGGACGTTGCCGTTTGTAAGCGTGAATTACTGTCAAAAAGAGTACGGGAAGGGTATCTTTGGGGGGCCTCCATTCCGGGTGATCCTTTTCCTAATTCTTTCGATTCGGAAGGCCTTATTATACGATTACAACAGCGATGCGGGGGTCATAGTGGTCTCCAACCCGCACTACGAGCTTCCGGTCTGCACGGTAGATTTGGAGAAGAACTGAGAAGAACGCTTGCCAGACAGAGACACAGCAGTGTCTAGGACAACTAAGTGAGTGTTGGACACCTCTGGAATCTGTGCGGGCCCATCATAGCAAATGACGATTCCTCAAGTCTTTTAGCAGAAAGAGTCTTACCATCGCAAGTACAATAAACCCTCGTTTTTGTTCAGATCAGAATGGCATATGTAGCCCTCTTTTATGACAGAAAAGGAGCTAAGGCTTGTGATGGATTGAAAGCCCTGATGACGCGGAGCGGTTAGCGAGAACAGCGGGAGAACTTTCAAGTCCAAAGTCCGAAATTTTTAGAGTCTTGGTAACTCGAGTTAGAAGAGGTGCTGAAATATTTCTTCCGTTTTTAAAATACCCCTTCATGTCTCCATTTTCATGGCTTTGATGCTTGTAACGGAGGGATATTGTATAGCACGTCGAGTCATGCAAGACCAAAGCCCAGTCGAGATGTTAAGTCGACTTTGGCCGTACTGCCAAAGTCTTCTCGCATAGATACATATGCTTATGGCCGCTTACACTGCCATATCAAAACCTTAATAGTATCGTTTAAAAAAAGATACTACAGACGAGGATCCATAAGTGCATCGAATGATTGAGCATATTGATGCACATAATCAAGCGGTGGAAATATTTTCAGGGATGGTGACATGATGGCGATCCTGGAGGACTGTATTCTCCTAGCAGAACACTACGCTTCTCAGACTGCTGACCTTTCGCAAAGTTCGTGATGTTCTAAGATGACGTTCATTTGAAGCTGTTCTAGAATCTCGTGGAAGGGCATTCCGGGATGGATTCCGTCTGACCCATGGTAGACGAACTTGGTTCCGTTGTGCCCAACCATGAGCCTATTACATCAAGTATTGTCAGGGCACCTTGCAAGCGCGACGGTTCGATTATCCTCCTCGCGTCCTGATTGAAAATGTCTATTCGATGATTGAAAAACTCTTTCATCGCAAAGTACTCCTCTTTCACCGCTGTCGCCGTCTGAAAGATAAACGTAGACCTGATCACAGTTCCGGTATCATTAGCTACCGCCTGCAACTCCTGATCTCTCCCAATCTTCCAACCAACTTACTACATCTGCAATCTCTTCATTAAATTGGGGACGAGAGTAATACTTCGCTGGATGCAGCACCATATTCATAACCAGCACGCCGGGCTTATACTCCCTGGAAATCAATTCCTCAATCTTTTCCCGAAACTTCTCGTCCGGCGTAGGATTCCAAGCCCAGGAGATGCAGTACTTGTAAGGGGATCCCTCGATTCCAAGAAACTCCTGAACCACTTCGGTCGTAGTTTCATTGTAGTCATACAATGACCGCTTACCGACACACTTCTGAGGGGATCCCCCGGCATCGCTGGGCGCCGGCGCGGTACAGCAGAAGACGTGATCCACATAGTGGAACGTTTTCCAGGTGATCGCGCCCCAGGGTTCCGCTTTGGAATTATTGAACCGCGGACCGAAAAAGGCAGTGGCCTTGTACCTCACGTTGAACAAATGCAGCGAAACAGAGTCTCCTTGCGTAGCGAGCCAAGCGCGCTTTGGGTCGCGCATCAACGCACGCGCCAGGTCCAAGTGACTCAGCAACTGGAGGTCGCAGCCCTTCTTATCGAGCTCGTCTATCGAGTCTATAAAAGCCAGATCCCTAAGATCACACGGCAGACATTGATCGACGCCCTCCTTCTCAACTGCAGCCTCTTGGAAAGGGAATAATGCTAGCTAGGGTTCTCGAGGCTTCTGGCGCCATTAGTACATTGTCAGGGTTGCCAGCACTTTCTGCACCATTTGAAAAGCCAGCGTTAAGCCGTCCTGTCAGGTTTCCCGTTTGCTTGCCAAGCGGCCAGCTGCTTTGACGAGACAATAAACTCCAGCATTCTTGCCCGCTGCCTTTGATCTGGTGTGTGGCCAGAAATGCTGAGAGCATGATGAGCAGGACCAGTAAGCAGCAGCCAAAGAGCGCTCCGCCAACCTGATCTTTCATCCACCGATATCCAATCCACTTGGCCAGTCTGAATTGCTCCTGACCGGCCGAGTCTTGTTCCGCTTCTAGCCGCACTCACCGCACCATCTTTGGAAGAAGCGTCTTCCAAATGTAATACGTGTTTGTGTCCTCAGTTGCTCGCTATCCTATAGATTTAGTGTCAGGCGCAGTCAGGAGTAGCGCCGCGCCACGAAACAGAGCAAAGCGCAAGTATTTGAGAATCTGCTGGAAAGCCTGACGCTCCTTGAATCTCGGCCTCCTGCAAAAGTGACAGCGGGTCATGAGCCAACAGTACTAGATTGGGTACTATGGATTTCAGCAGCCAAAGTTTGTGTGAGTTGGGTGATCATGCTTGATATCACAGAAGGGTTTATTCGATCTCTAGTGCAGTAACTTATAGGACCGGCTATCCCTGTCATGACTGTCAGGTTCTTGAACTAGTTAGGTCCGTACTTCAAGCTCTCCGGTCCTAAGAAGGTAGCAACCGGCAACCACTAGTACGAAGTTCGAACATCCGCCCCCAATTCCCAGAACAAAAACGTCAGTCCTGAGACTTGCACGTGATGGGTGATTTAAACCAGATTCTGCAGTGTGCACACATCTGCAGATTGCTTTAGATCTTTCAATCACTAATTGACAGTCTGCTGTCATTGTGATATTGGGACTCGTGTGAAATCTGGTGGCTCATTTATTAGCTGTTTGAACCTTGCACCTGGATGCCTGACGTGCGTGACTAATATCACGTGTGCCAGGGGCCCGGCTGCGGTCGGCGAAGCTAGATCACGTCTTCTAATCTGGCGCTACAGTTAAATGACAGTAATCAACTCTTCTTTCCGATATGCTCAGCTAACAGTCCTGTCATTCTGACACATCAAGTGTGCCAAGGCCCAGGCTAGCGGCGCCCTGCAGCGCGTGGCGGGTGCTTTGACTAGCCCTGGGGTGGCAACTCGAGAAAATTACCGCATACACCTGCGACCAAGGGGTTGGCGAACCTGGTAGGTTATAGTGTAGTATCTTATTGATATTTTTGCAATTCACTAGTAGCTTATACTGCAGGATCTTATTGGCAGCTCTAAAGTCAAGCAGGTTATAGTGCAAGATCTTACGACCAAATATGTAACGAGCATCTTACCGTGTAGTATCTGTCGGATGATTGAGGCATGTAAAGGGAGTTGATTTGGTCGCTGCCATATAAGTGCATCTTTTGCATCTTATTGGTTGTAAGATCCGCAAAATATGTAAGATGGGGGGGTCAAAATCCAACAATTTATAGTGCTCTGGAACCGTCTCGATATGACGAAGACAATGACGTATTCCTTTTCATGAGATTCTGAACGAGCGCTTATGCGGATTCGTCAAGATGATTTTTACTTCGATCATCTGCGGATTCGGAGTTGCCACCCCAGGTGACTAGCTGTCAAAACAAGCAGGGCTCCTACAAAGCTGGAGGCTGTACACTGTCAGTATACGGTATTGGACAGGCCGGGCCAAAAATGAGATGACCTGTAGCTAGTAGCTGGCCGCTATTACTTCTAAGGTGTTGAAGTACGGTTGGCAGGTACTGTACTGGTACCTATAACCCGCGGTACCTATACGGTACCTATTGACGGGACATAAAACGTACGGGTACTGTACTACGATACCGATTGGGTTGTGCCCACACCGTACACTAGTGTCAGGTCACTCGGGGTCCAGACTGGTCACTGTACGCAGCAGCACATGAAATACCGTACCAATTGTCCGATTGGGCAGATTTTTGCCCAATAATTAGTTTCGTATCTCATGGATTTTGGGCAGCTTCATTTATGCATTTATTTTGTTTTTCTACGGGGCAAAATGATCTGCAAATTTAATCGTAATTTATTTTTAATTCAGATTTTTGGGCAAGTCAAAGAGTATTTAATTGTTGCCCAACGGGACAATTGGTACGGTAGGTACACTGTACAGGTACCTACCGTACGCCGACAATAGCGTATGGTTCTGGTCTACCGCCGTGCAGTGCGTCAGTGCATGTACCGTAGTACCGTACTTAGGTACCAGCAGCCTAAGGTTGCGCGTCGACCGGAAACCTCCGAGGTCATCCCAGGTTTTTGAGCCAATCAGAGGCCTGCTTTTCATAAATATGGGTTTGTAAGCACTGAGGTGATTGTGTCGCCTATATCTATCAAATGAGCATCTTTTCTCCTCAAAGAAGCATTGTCGGCAACTGCCACCACTCATGGCCATTGCCTATGTGCTTTGGATAGAGCATTTTGGTGCAGAATTGCGTGATATGGGGCGCACAGATGTGGAGGGTTTGCTGCAAACCAAGGCTGAAACCAGGGTTTCCTGAACCACGTGGTCTGACAACATCAAAGTGGGGGGTGGTTGATTTTCGGTCGACGCGCAACCTAATTCTTGGAGTCAGGCGGGGTGACTGACAAACCCGTGCGGCTGTCAGAATTCTAGTAACTGAAAAGTACTAGGCCCAGGTCGATTGTGCGGCGAAGGTCTACAAACCGTACACTGTTATTGGCTCATGAGTGTGAGATACTGTACCTCAGGCGCCTCTGCCAATAGTCATACCTGCCTCATTCTGACAGGCCCGCCCATGAGATCCCCCAGCTGGGCAAAGATTGTAGGTAGCTGCCCTTGTACTCTGATCATTTTTTGCAGCCAAGCTAGCAAGCTGCAAACCACCTCGATCTGCAAATGACAGCACGCCTAGTTGCTGTCAGTCTTGCAGCTGAAGTCAAGGAACAAACCGAGCGTTTCAGGCCCTCTCTGTGGTGGCTTGCTGTCAGCGCGTCAAACAGCGATCTTCTAGCTCCCGAAGGCGCAGCTAGGCCAACATTGGTGGAAACTAGATCTACACTGAAAATGATATTGCCATAGCTGAGTCACGCAGCTAGCACTGTGGCTGTAGCGAGCTAGGAAGGTTGTTCTGATTGAAGCCACTAGGGGCTGTACTTGGGGCGGCTCGGGCAATGCCTCAGAGAGGGGTTTCGCAGTGCCTATGGCACGGGATTCTTCTACTGGTTCTTGGAGCCGTAATCTCATCCGTATGTTTAGCGGGGCTTTCAAACACTGCGGGTGATGTTTCTAGAGCAGAGAACCGCGGAATTTTGTTGACAGCTTTTGATCACAGCGTCAATGGCAGCACGTTTCAGGCGCTTGATAGACGAGAGCTGCAGATTGCGCTGGAGCAGCTGGATCGAGTGTTGCCCCCGGATCTGCCGATTATGGTAAAAACAAACTGGGAGGGCGCGCAAAACTACCTCCCACAGAACGTCTCAAACCGGGTCATCACCTTCTCATCAGACCTCCGAGTCACTGGGAGAGGGATTGGGCAGCAGGGAGAGCGCGAGCTGCAAGCTGGGCCAAGACCATTTCTTTGGTGGCGAAAAGTTTCGCCGTCCAGATTAGAATCAGTGGAGCTTTCTAAAAAGGTTCCTGAACATAGTATGGGTGGTGAGCTCCCAGCTCCCGGCAATTTTACATCCGAGGAGGTTGCGGGTGGCTCCAATTCAGTCTTGCAACCAGTCAAGCTATCCAAGATCCGCTCCTTGGCCGCGGCGCCATTCTCAGTGACGCTGTATCTAGATCTGGACGCAATGGTCTGCCGGGACCTCTCCTTCCTCTTTGACGTGTTTGAGGAGAGCTCCTTTGAGCTGGCAATCGCGAGGGATGCGAGCCGGCCGCACGATCTCTACGACTTCAACTCGGGCGTGATTTTGTACAGAAGGACAGCCAGCATGCAGCGCTTCTTCTCTGCCTGGGAGGAGTACTACTTGTCGTTCTGCGTTGGGAAGGGGTATAGTAATCTTGTAACGATTACGACTGGTTAAGCCTAACCTCGTTCTCGACAGGATTTCGTTGACCGCGAGTTAGCGAAACGGCGGTGGTTACGTCTTAACGACGCACTGCGTGGCTGTCTGCAAGACGGCGTAATATCCCGGATGGATCGGCTTTAGTGAGCCGATGT